CCACTAACTCAAGCGCCGCTCACTAACACAGGAGCGGCTCGCCGTTGAGGAGAGTGTCCCACTCTCAAATCCCACAGCCTCAACGTCACACCTTCCACCAAAAACAACGCCAATTCAACCCACCAAATACTGAGTCAGGTCACCACCTGCCTGCCACAATACTTGGTGGTTCCGGACCCAATCCCCTCTTACTCGGTATGCCGCAAAAAATAACAACGGCCTCAGCAATTCTTACAAATGTCGCGTGCCGCAACGCTGTCAACAAGACGATCGCCACTCCTTTCTATTCCAAGGTGCACTTCCACCTTGGCGGTACGGTCCCTGCGGCAACGTCTAATCCCCCTTCTCGCAGTCCTGTGCAAATACTGTTGCCACAAAATCTGGCAACACCCTCGCCGTACTGCCAAGAAAATCGGTGTTGCCGCTGCAAGAATTCGGCAGCGCTTCCGCTGTACCGCTAAGAATACCAGCGCTGCCGCCGCACAATTTCGGCAGCGCTTTCGCTGTTGCGCCAAGAAAACCAGCGCTGCCGCCGCACAATTTCGGCAGCGCTTTCGCTGTTCCACCAAGAAAACCGGTGCGGCCGCCGCAAAATTCGGCAGCGCTTCCGCCGCACCTCCCTAGAAAACCAGCAGCAACCTCAAGGCCACGGTTTCCCTACTGCCTGCAGCACAGCACCAAAGGTGGGGGCAAGAAGCTCCCAGCCTTCAGCTATGGTTGCCTCCTCCTCCCTCCAAGTGTTGTGGTAGGCTGGCTTTTATAGCTGGCTGAAGGCTGAGGGCAGCTGCTTTGCCCCCAGCCAAATCTCGGAGTAGAGCCTGACCCTTGATCAGAATCGCGATCAAGGGCCAGGAACTTGATGTTCCCCTAGGGGAACCAACTTCTGAACCCTGGTAGTGCATCAGGCCTTCACCCACGGCAAGGCGCAATGCACAAATGGCCGTACTTAGCTATTTTTGAGCAGACTGTTATAACCAACGGTCTGCTATCAATTCATAGTCCAGATGCTTCATAACCTGCATCAGGACCGAGGCCGCGGCTAGATCCGCGGCCGTTTCCCTTTTTTTTTTGTTTTTCCCAACTTCTTCACCTCTATCTTTTTTTTTTCTGATTTTTTTTTTTTTTTTTTTTTTTTTTTTTTCCTGAATCAGGGCAGCTCGTCGTTTGAGAACGGATGAGCACATTCCCCCCCCCTCCTGCAAGTCATTTCACAGAGTCGAACTAGAGTCAA